CTGTCTCACCCGACTGTTGAGTTTGGGAACCTTCTTCCTACCGACATAACCAATTGCGACAGTGCGGTCTGCCGTGGTGGATCCCGTTGGCGCAACTGCTTGTCATCCTTGTCCAATTTTAATAGTATTCCACCTCAGTTTTTCCGAATTTCTGTGTCCTGTCTCTTAATCTACCACGGGCTTTGTTTGTAAAATTAGAAACTGACGCCAAACTCAAATTCCTTTATTCTATCTATAGCATCGACCCAAACGTTTATAGCTACAAAGAAGTCTGCGTAGGTTGACCTGTAAGTCTTCCCCTTTGTAATCTAGACCTTAAAGGAGCAAGAACAAGTGAACGGGTTACAAAACGTAGTTTGGTTTCGGGCTTTCACGAAGTTTTCTCCGAACTGTCAGGAGGGATGGAGGAGTGAAAGGAGGCACAATAATATCGGCCGAAATAGCAGGCAGACCATAACTCTTCGAGTTCAAGCTGGCATTTGCTAATAATAATTTGGATTTTTTGTAGACGAAATGCACGTAGACGGTCAAAGATTGCGAGAGCCTGTGTAAAAATTAAATGAAGGTTTAGAGTTACCAAGGAAAGATAAAGTAGATTCGACCATTAAAATAAAATAGACGCGTTGCCTAATCTCTTAAAAGGGTTTACGGAAGACTAGATGCGAGGTTATGCACAATTTCTAAAAGACGCAAGACGCAGCCAGTCGAAAGTAATGATCCCTGAATGTCTTCAATTTACCTTCGAATTCATGCTGGAGTGTTTGCACAACGGAATATCATTGCAAATGGGAAGGTTTTCGTACGGCGTCGAGAACTGAATTGCCCAATTTTGGGTTTGCGATAAACTGAATTTGAGCTCAAATTAGTCACTTTGAGGTTCAGCCAACTTCCTGCTGATTTTCTGCTTTTTATGATTAGGGCCAATCACATAGCATAACACTGACTTTATGGTGATATGTTTTTCCCGGCCTTCACACTAAAGCTCAGTCGAGAACCTTGACAAGCCTGATGTGCATGGGCGAAGTGGCTAACAGGACCGCGGAACACGTCTGCAAGCGCCATAGCACGACCTGGTGGCCCTTCCACACACTAGGATTTACACAACCAGGGAATCAGAAGGAGCCGTCGCCGTCTGATTCCCGGTCCCCTCACTAGCCACTTAACACACAACACACACTGGGCTGATGGTGTGTCTGTCAAGTACGTCAGCTGGCTGCCTTCTCAGCCACGGTAAACCGTGATAGTGTTAGTTTTGCATCAAACATGTAGCATAGAGGCTGTAGGTGAAAGAAGAGGAGGGGCAGCCTTAGCTACTGAGCTTGCATGTTTACTTACAGGTATGCCTTAAGTCCATGCGGGAATTAGAGTGAGTTATATTGTAACATGCACTTACAGCGTTGGATCAAGGCAACGTTAAGGTTGACGCCTGATCCTGCGGAGGATTTACGCGTCCTCTGTGCATGTCCATGAGCCTATGTCACGCTGGAGTGTGATGCTGGATAACGGTAGCTCTTCAGCTTAAGTTAGTGCTAAAGTTTGTGCCTAA